GGCACATGTTCCCGAAGTTACAGCTTTCTAGCTTCTCTGATTCTCGAGTTGGAAATGGGTGGAAAAAGTGCGAACATACGCGTAGACAGTCTCTTGTCAATATGCATTTTTGCGTTTGCATGTAAGCAAAAACGCATGCGGATATAAACCAATGGAACAGAGGTACCTGCCGCATCCTCTTGATCCACTCCAAGTAGGAATCCAGCAACAATAGCAACACAGCAAATAATCGCTTTAACTGAGGTTACTTGTCCCAAAATCAGATAGGAGCAGATCTGAATGGAGAATTAATTAAACATGTATTAGCAAAGGAATGCAGAGAATATGCAGAACGGTCAGAGAAACAAAAACATAACAGCCTCAGTAATCACAGTAAAGAAGTAGGTTCACACAACTTACCACATTAAAGACAGTGGTGAGAGACCTGCCAACATAGTAAAATGAGACACCCACGTACTTCAAGCATAAATTATTCGTGGTTATCATTGCAACAAATACAAACGAGAGTGGAAGCACCTGAAAGAGAGCATGAGTCGCTGTATGTAAGCGATAATAGGCCATCTGGGCGAGGTAAGGGCTCGAGCTGACAGAAACACACCTCTCTTGAAATACGATGATCAAACGAGAGAGATGGGAATGTGAACCAATCCGGATACAATCTGGCAGCATAATAGCAAGCAGAGCACAAGGCCACCGCAACAACACACTGGTACCAAGTAACAAATAACGGCGCATTCAGCTGCAAATCAAACACATTGCCATGCCCAGAGCAGAAATTAGCAGGACAAAACCAATTTTAATAAGCCGACGAAACGCACCTTCAGTGAGTCGCTGCTAAGCAGGTATTTATTCAAAAACACAAGACCGATCGAGCAGAACCTGCAAATCATTCGTCGAGTAAAAGCAGCAGAAGCGGACGCTGCACAAATCAGTCCAGCACTACTGCCAGTTACAGCATTCCCCGAAATCCACGAGTAAAACCGAATTGGACAAAGCTGGAGCAGTGGACTAACCAGTAAACTGACACAACCAAAAACACTTTGAGGTATCGCTGCTTCAGAGAAGGCTCCTGCTGATTACCATTTTTCATTTTTCAGTAGTTTTGAATCCAGAAACAGAGACCGGCTACAGTGAATTCCCAAACATCACCTGCAAGTGGTGAAGTTAACGCATGTGATGTAGCATAACTCCGTTCCCCTCAACAGAGAAGCGAATTTCATTTTTAGAGAAACGAAAGTGTTTAGAAATTATCCCTTATTATTATCCCCACTATTACAGCGCCAGTATTAAGTAACAAGACGTATTCGCAAGCGCTGCTCAGGAAACTGCTGACAAGTTCCGATTTGCTCTCTACTGTCTTTACCGTGGCGAGGAAAAACCCGGACTTTAGCATAATTGCACAAATAAAAACTGGAACTCCGTTC